GTGTGTGTGTGTGTGTGTGTGTGTGTTATGCTTACTCTGTTAATTGGACTTAATGCTAATATTCCAGGTGTACATCCGTGTCAATGACACCAATGACATGGCCCCAGTGTTTGATAGCAGAGCCTACAGTGCCTTTGTCTATGAGAGATCTCCCCCTGGCCTTCCCCTCATTATTGTCACAGCCACGGATGATGACTTCTACCCAGAGTTTAGAAATATTACATATAAAATTGATTCTTTATCAGATCCAGGTGGTAGGTCTTTTTTTTAAGAATTATTATAATGGATAAAATCACTATAATTTCCTTCTGATATATGTTCATCAGATGGTAGGGCAGTATTTATTATTATTATTATTATTATTATTATTATTATTATTATTATAGAATATTTTGAAAACATAAGCTTGAAATTACTTGTTATACTAGAAAAATTATTTTTTTTAAAAGGCTGATTCAAACAGGTGATATATGTTCAAGCATTGTGAGTAACTTTGAATATGCTGTATTGCAGGAGTATTTGGAATGTACCCAAATGGAACTCTGTTCCTGAATAAGATGTTGAATGCCACACCTGCTGTTTATAATATGAAAGTTGTGGCTGATGATGGAGTGAATAATGATACGGTAAAAAATTTAATTATTGTGAACCAAGCAAGGACACCTTCTTAAAATCTTAAAGGAGAATTTATATTAAAAAATTCATTATAGAGATCAAAGGCTCTATTATCACATACTAAAAAAGATAATCATTATATTTCTGTGTGCCAAAATATCTTTTGATTTAATAATCCCTCAATTTTATTGAAATTCTAGAAGGCTCAAAATAATAAATTGTGTGATTTGAATCCTAGAACACTTAGAGAAATGTAGATTGTGTGAATGAAATAAATTCTAAAAACATCAGAGAAAGTTCAATTGCTTAAAATTCTTCGTATTGGTGATCACAATTCTTGGTCACTTTGCAGGCTGACCTACGCATAAATGTGGTCCCAGCCATGGACACTGCTCCGGTCTTCAATGCCACCATGTACACATTTGAGGTTGACGAGAGCAACACTACAGGGGTATTTGTGGGCCGGGTGTTTGCAAGAGCTGTGCCCAGAGAATTCAATGATGGAATTGAGTTTAACATCTCCTGCTGCATGGAGTCTGCCCACATGTTCATGATAGTTAAGGTGGGTCGGTGAGAATGATGACAGTAATAATAATAATAATATAATAATAATAATTATAATTATAATAATTATATACAGACACTGTTAGTGGCTGTATATATTCTGATTGATCTGTCTGTCAGTGTTGTGGCCATTACTGATGACTGGATGATATTTTGACATTTATACACATATTGAACAGCAATAACTCTAAAAAATTATGTAACTTAACATGCTACATTAGCCAGGCAGTGATTATCAAAAAGATCTCTTAAAAGTCGTATCAAAATATAATTGCAGAATGTCACTTTAAATTTGTTTCTCCTTTAAATATGATATGCTGCAATGGATATACATGGGCATTAACTGATGTAGTCTTTTCGTTTAACAATTTGTACAATTAGGTTTTATATCAGTGTGTTAAGTCTGTGATGTAATGATGTAATAAGTCACGTGATGTAGGTCAGAGGTCATGAGTGTGAAGCTGGAAGTTGGGATGCGACGTGGCATGTGAGACATGGACTTTTATTTCTGTAATAAATATTTTAATCTTTTATATAAATTGTTGTTACAATACCATAAAGTCTACCCTGATTTGTCTTCAGAATGGCAGTATTTACTCCCGTTTGCCCTTGGATAGAGAGAACATGACAGACAGTCTCACATTGACGGTCAGTGCACTGGATACCACAGCTGTGCAGGGAAGAAAGGTTAGGGAATTTTGAACATGATATCTGATTCAGTAAATTGTCAATATTAAGTGATACTATTTGAAAAATTGAAAAGGTGATGCATTTTCACCGATGTTGATGAGTATATTTGACTGGAATGAGTAGGGACTTTTTTTAAAAATAATTTTTAGTAAATTGTTGACATCTCCTTAAAGCTTTTTAGCTTTTGAATAATTAAAAAGGAAAAATCATCAGTTTTGCTATCATGTCTATTTGCTCTTGATGTTGTAATGACCATAAGTTCAGAATGTTGTATTGTAATTTCATCTGTCCAGGCCAATGTGGAGGTAAAGATCACAGTGAAGGACATCAATGACAATCCACCCATGTTTGTGTCAACCAGTTTCACTGGCAAAGTATCTGAAGATGCTGGTATTGGCACCACTGTACACATGGTAAGACACTACGTCATGATTGGAGTGTATTCTTAATCCTAACATACTTCTTCTTTGTAGTATATGAAATATTCATTGAAAGTAATAAATTATTGTTTGTTCTCCACATATTCCATACCACTGAACACTAAATGTATAAGTATTTCCTTTAATTGCAGTCTCACAGTGCCAATAAAAGCAAAACCAAGTTTGATATTTGGTGCAAATGACATGATTCCAAAGACTTCTTCATGTATGTTCTTGTCAGTAATAAATTTAAAACTATTGACCTCTCTGTTCTGTAGATCCCCCCAGTGAAGGCAGTAGACAAGGATAAAGAGGCAGAATTAACATACAGACTTTCTCCATCCAGTCCATTCGACGTGACCAGTGGAGGGGTCATCACAGTGACTGGGGCACTGGACAGAGAAAGTCAGAGAGATTATAATTTGACAGTAAGTCTATGCAGTATTTGTGAGTTTTCATGGGCAAATGGGCCTTCTGGAAGATGGTCAGAATTTTTCAGGTTTACATTGACAGGTGTCTAATTATTCTGGCAGAAGATGGTTGAAAATGGAGGATGGATCAACAAATAAGATAATTTGGAGGACTTCCAGAAAGTATCTCTGGATCTGCCCCAGAGTTTTCATATTCTAGTTTCTTTGCATTGTTTGCTATATTATTTCTTGAACCAGTAATATTATCATATCTCATTGACAAATACAATAATAAGATATTTGATTTCACTATTTATGTGTGGCATTCTTTGCTGAGTTGATCCCTTCTTCAATTGTATTTCCTTTTATTAACCAAAATTTGGTGTAAATGTTTAAATGAAGGTTGCAAATGGCATCTGTTTGGGTCACAAACAGACAATCTTTTACCAAGATTGTAAAGAGTTCGAAAATGAATATAATTCCTTACAATAGGTAAATGGTTGTTCACAAGTGACAAACCTCATCTCTTTGATTCCCAAATAAAGAATCTCATACCACAAACAGTTCACATATTAATAATCTCTTACCACAGGTAACCGCCAGTGATGGAGTGTTCAGCAGCACAGCTAATGTGTACATAGAACTGATAGATATCAATGACCAGTTCCCAAGTTTTTCCCAGCTCAACTACTACTTCAATGTCTATGAAAACGCTACCCAGGGTGACAAAGTTGGACAGGTCAATGCCACAGACTGGGATGGAAGCGATGAACTAATGTACTTCATCGAGATTGGGGATGGTGGGAAATTCTATATCAATAGAAGGACTGGTGAGTTGATTTGAATTTGTGGTTCAGATATCAATGGGATACATGATTGCTTTCCAATAAAACATGAATATTTAGAAAGAAAAAAAAAAGAAAAAGATTTCATTTGTTTCATTTCTTCTAGTAAAGCAATTAATTNTACTGACGCACACCTTGAAAACAGATAGTTTGGTCCAATCTACCGGTGAATTCAGGATCATTCGGTGCCGAGTCTGGTAGTAGGGTAGGCCGGAATTTGTAATACTGTCAGAAAATATCTCTGGATCCACTCCTGTTATTGATTTGTAAATTTGTTGTTGAACTGTTTATATTCATTTTAATACAGTTAATGTTTTGGAATGGGGATATAAAAATGGCATGTTTTGGTGTAGCGTCCGTCCCCAAGCGTATTACGTACCAAGTCATGAAATTTTAGCACTCTTAACATGTTTAAGGTTTTTTATTATGTGTCATTCTTAAGGTCAAGTCTTTGTCATATCAAATAAGAGATTTCAAATCATTGATGGAATCCCCTGATTTGATCTAAATCACAAAACATTTTATTTTTATTTGCAAAAGAAATGTGGCCATGCATCATGCAACCGCACATTTTGGAAAACAAATAGCTCACAGTTGATTGAAATTTAGAGGTTTTCATCGCAAGTACAATTCATGTGAATAAAATTATGCTTATTAAAATAATTATTTTCCAATTACTATGTTTTATTCAACACGTGAACGTAATTGACTTGTAAAAATGTAGCGTCCGTCCCCTGTTTGAGACCCATCCAGTCATTTAAGTGTCAAACAAAAACAAAGAGAAACGGTGCAAAAACATTTGAAGGGATTATGCCCAAGATCTATACTAATGCCCTACTGGTATTCAAACCTCTGTTGGGTGAAGTTCATATTTGGTCGAAAGTGGACCATAAAGTGTACATCTGATTGTGAAATAGCCGCATGCACTCGTTTCTAAACGCCATCGCCTCTTTTTATCACTTTCCTAGAGTCTTCCTGCAAAGTCTTTTCTACTTTGAAAACCGTTATTAGTGTAGTTTGACCTTGACCTGTGATTGACCTTCACCCAGTCCTTAACCCCTCTGAGAGCTCGAAGTCTTCACGTTGGAAGTAAGTTTCAACTCGAGTGTTTTTCACACGTGTGCTGTATATCGAGTGGCCTTTCTGTTTGACTACGCGAACTCGAGTGTTTTCACTGTGTGCTCACATTCGTGGCTTAAAAAAGGCTGGTGCTGCCACCTAACGGAGATGCTGTCAAATGCAGTTTTGATCTAAGGTACCTTTTTGTCAAACACTCTTTAGAACAAAAGCTAAAAATAACATCACTTATTTAAAAAGAATTGATAAAGTGAATTTCATATTAACTTGCATTAAAAAGAAACCAAACCAGCTTACAGTGTACTCTTTGCGTTTGAGGAACATCGCGATTCTTAAGTAGACTTTAGAAAGCCTATGGATACTTTTGACAGTTCCGTAGATTTTGAATCTGTCCTCTTGTTTGAAGTGCCGTTCTGATTTGCAGTGAGCTTAATAGAAACGTTAATTAAAAACAAATGTATATTAGGTATTATGATAGCAAATGAAAACAAACCGTTATTCTGTTTTGCTACAATTCTTTGGAAAATGTGGATGAAGAAAATCACCACAAATATTGATCTTTCGAACTGAGGATATCTGGGTCATTTAGTACAAACCAGAAACGAATTAAATGAGAATCAAGATATTCTGAGTCAAGCAAATTAAAAAACGGTTGGTTTTTGTTGTTGCGTATAGTGAGGCGTGTACCGGAAGTAGTAGAACTCACGTGACCGTGTCGTTGTTAGATAAGAAGACCCAAGATGCCAAGAGGGTGGTCATCCGGAAGTGCTTTTACACAGTCACTCCGCAGACGGACACTTGCAAAGTCTACACTCAGGGAAATCTACGGGGAATCCACTGCATGTGTACCGGAGCCCTCTGCAACTCCGGAAGTGGCGTCAACACAAACATCGTAGTGCTGGCTTTCTCAGTTTTAGTTGCTGCTATTTTTAGTCGTCTTATCTGACTTTTGTCACTGTATTTCGGCCAACTGGTTTTAAGAGGGCGATATTGTTATGGTTTTTCCTTTACAGGAATTGTTCATCAAACACAGATTGAAAAAAATACAGCATTGAATAGATGTCACAATTTTATCTCTATGCTCCTACACATAGTTTTGATGGGAGTTGTAAGCACCACAGTAAATCATTGGCACAATGAGTCTTAAAGAATATGTATCATATACATGACACATTCAACATCCACGATATCTTCTGTATAAATGCGAAACTGAGGGACCATTCCCACAGATATTTGGATCGATCTATCTCCCTGGGGTCTCACTAAATTGCTGTCATCTTTTTTCACGGCTGAAATGTCTGTCACGCCTAGTAAAACTGTTAGGGGATAATATCTTTACCCCTTAGCTGATTTGATAGGTGTGGCAGATATTAAGCCGGTTAGTTCATAACAATTTAGTGAGACTCCCCAGGGAGTTAGATCGATCCAGATGGATCGATCTATGTATGGTAACCCAGTCAGAGGCTGGTAACTACCTTGAAAAAGAACTAGGCCTACCCAACGTTGGCGTCACTTCTGTCTGGTGCTGAGCTGTGGATTTGTGAGCTAATTAATGACAAGGTTTATGGTATACTATACGCGTGTACAATGTCCCAAATTCTTATGTATTTGTCAAAATACTTTGTAAAGCCAGTTATTACATCTTAAATTCAGAGCGTTAAAAAGATAAAACCGAAGTTATATCAGAAAGACATGATGGTCTTAATGATTTGTTTAGAACATTAGTTTTTAAATTAAGACTTCCAGCCATGCAGGAAAAGGTCGAGCAATTATTTCTGACTAGGAGAAGATTGCCTTTTTTCTCGTTAAAAATTAGGTTTGGCGCAAAAAAAAATCCGTATGGTGGACTTTTAACAATAATTGAGTCACAGCGTGGTAGCTCGTTTTTTTGTTTTTTTTACAACATGTCAGAACACATGTTGTTGTTGGCGTATATTTTCACATTTTTGTGATGGACCCCACTTTTATACACCAAGTACTAAAATAAATTATTTGGTTGTTTTATCTTTGTTCCTTCAAATTTAATCTTGAATGGAAAGGTCGGGGTGTGGAGGATAAGTTTTACCACTGCCTAANAGGTCAATTGGAAAAACCGCTTGATTGGACCATTTTTACAGTTATGTTTTTTTTTTTTTTTTTTTTTGCATATTTTGAGAACTCTTGTTTATTGCATTTCTTAGATCCTGTCAGGCACAAGACTGGTGGTGGTGGTGTCTTTTTTTTGGCTTTCCATCTGAATGTGCTTACTCCAGCTGGTGGTACAATATCCGGAGGCGGTATCGCCTCTCTGATCCTCTAGTTTTACAGCGGTATCGTTTATGTGCAATATGACATGCGCGTTGTGGTGTTGGACGACACGTGGTGTTTTAAATGTAATAAGAGCATGCACTGCAGGGTTTGTTTGCACGTTCGGCATGGGCATGATTTTATTCCCCGGCGTAAATTCTGGAATTCTGAATGATGTTAAAAATGAAACCAATGACGCATTGTATTTGCATGATGGGCATGACTTTAGACCGAATAATCCCGGCGTGATCGCATTCGCATTTGATTTGAAGGCCTTATTCCCAACCCCTCCGCTTACACATACAACTGTACACCCAAACACAAAAATGGTCCGAATAATCCCAACAAGAAAAAAATTCTTTGCCATAGATATCATTCATGACAGTGCTTTGTTATATTATAATACTCTGCTACTTATTTACGACAAAGCTTATTAGCATATCGACACCATTATAAGGCGATATCCTGTACCAAAGTCAATCTTATTTTCTGAACTTCTGTGCCTTACTGTCCTTTGTATTGTAACAACCTTACCCTAGGGCTGAAGTGGGAGGGGGGCACGGATTTGCATGCATGACAAAAAGCATTGGCAGATGCAGGGGAGGAGAGTGGGCCAGGGGATGGGGAAGTTCCCAAAATTGGGTTCTCGCTCCTTTTAAAGCCCCGGTCCAAACTTAATAGTTTTGGAGAGCTACTGTATTTTATGAAGTACATTCATAATTATATTCACCATACATTTACATGAGATTTTAGGCTTTCACGAGCATTTATCACTATCTTGAGATGAAGACATGCCATCGGATTGCATGCAAACAGCATTCACGAACAAGTGAATGTTGAAGTCAATGTTAGTCCAAAAATGTATATTGAAAAAAAAAATAATGCAATTCATTCTCAGCACGTGTACATTTATCCTGTAGGCAAACGTGTTATTCAGAGAAAATGTTTCTATACCACGACCGCACAGAACGAGAAATGCGACAACTACCAGCAAGGCGACCTCAAAGGATCCCAGTGCTATTGTAAAAGCGGCGATTTATGCAACACCGGAAGTCACGTGGCCCTCAACACTCTCCTCCTTATGGCAGCTGCGGTGGCAGGAATGATTTTGAAAAGGGTTTTGTAGACTTCACGATGGATTCTTACTTTATAATGTCATTATTTGGACGCTGTACGAAAAGAAACGTGTAGCTTCTAAGAACAGTTGTGAAATAGAAAAAAAGGAAAATTGAAATAATGAAGTATTATATTTTAAAAGACAGTGCAATCACACTATGTGCGATAACTGGATTCATTGACGTATTGTTTCGATCAAGGAATATTAAGTGAAAAATTCTCAGAGAGTTTTTCTCGTTTTCAGTATTAACTTTATCTATCTAATGTATGGTCAAAGACCACGATCAGGCCATTTTTGGTCACAATGTGTTGTGTAGTATTTATGACTTTAAATTCAAATGTGAAACATTCAAATTGTATTAAGCGGGGCCAATTTATGACCATGTGGAGTTTTTTAAAGTTATTAATAGTTGACAATATTTATAATTACCATTACACATATTTTAACAATCAGAAAGCGCATGCAGATTTTACATCGATAACACTACTTGTGGAAAACAAACATAGGCATTTCGACTAAAATAAACATATACCAACGCTTAATTTAGAACAGAAATACACATTGATTTTCTGCTTTTCTAGAATAATGTGTTATGATTGTTTTATTTAAGAAACAAACGTATTGTTTCTTCAAGACGAAGGACAAATTAGGAGCTGGAAAAATATTTTATTGACAAGAAGGGTCTATTATTGTCAGGGGGCATTCTGGTAAATTGTTACCTCCCTTCCAAAATAAGAATCTAAAAATTTAAAAATTGAGGCAAACTCTTTGAAACTCTTGCCATATTTCACTCTAGACTATGATGTGCGCCGATTATTCAATAACGAAATCAAGAAGGTTCTCGCTCTATCTGATATCACGTTAGGCCAAACTAAAATTTAATGCCCAGAGATACCATATCGTCCTCAGTGGAACAATGCGCACTCTGGTACTCTGGCGAGGATAAAAGACGGTAGAAGTGTCGGGAAAGATAATATCATCACGACATTGCAGCCTGGGGATCTACGGTAATTATGCATGCGTTCTCTTGTATTTTGAAATAAAAAAGGAGAACCCGTAGAACATCATATACTAGTGTGTATATGTGAACTTAAATGTAGTTGTGGATAAACTAATAGGAATGGCACGAAGGTACGGTAGTGCACTGTGAAACAGACGGCCGTTTAAGGTGTGAGACGCCGCCGAGAAACCTTCAGAATGTTCTGCAATAGTTCAACAGTGGCAGAGGGAAGGATAATACCATAACAGTAACCACAGTTAACTTGAATGCGTCTTTCTGCTTTAGCCTTCTAGAGGTTTCTGTGGCTTTAAAGCTTAACAAAGTATTCGTAGTCGGCGCAAACATTGGCCTTTTCCATCAAAATAGGCTTTTTTGACGCAAGCGGGTTTTTGGTTCAGGCTTTACTTCTATTGAAATTTAAAAAAATGGGAAAAACTTTACTTTAAGACGCATATTCCTGTAATAAAAGGCATTTAATGCTCTGTCTGTAGTTGAAACTTTATTTTCATAGGACACCGTATGATTATCAGAAAGTGCCTCTATACAACGACTGAACAAAACGAGAAGTGCGCTGTTTATCAACAGAACCAACTGAAGGGTCAACATTGTTACTGCAAGGACAAGGACCTATGTAACGCCGGAAGTGGCATGTCCTTCAACTTCTTCATCACTATGGCACTAGTGTTCTTTTCGAGATGGCTCCTCTAAATAATGATGGCGTTAAAAGATTATTAGTCTTGTACAACGACATTCTGCAACAGTGAGAAAAAGAACATTTACTGACAGACGCTGCTATGCAGTGAAAACCTTTAAAGCTAAAAGTGGATGTGAACACTAGATGCAGATTTTACCCTGTAAGAGGAGGAGTCTGTAACGAGGCTGGTGTCCTGTATTAACAATTCAATTGTCTTATTTTAGGATATGTGCGACCACAGTGATTGGAAACGGAACGTCTCTCTGTTGTTTTAAACTGATAGAAATTGCCTGTATGGCTAGACTACAGATGAAGTACGAAAGTAAATTGTGTGGGTGTTTTTTTTCGCACGGTTTTGTTTGTATCTAGATACGTATACTTGTATTTTGAAATTCTTTTTTATGTAGTTAGTTTTTACTGTATTACAAATTTGAAGCACTGCCTCTAAATTATGAGCATAAACGCTCGAGGATAAAAAACTCGTTTTTTCAATGATAAACCAATAAAAATGCTTTTATTATGCTCAGCACACATCTGATCAGATAAATGAGTTTTATAATTGACATTTAGACGCCCAAATAAACATTTCTCACAAAAAATGCAACTTTTTACTTTGATAGTAGATCTCGCCGCTGTGTTTATAGGAATATATCTAACAACTTAGTAACCAAACACAACAAGAATTTGCCAGGTGGGCCATTATAATGGCCTCCACAAAAGCAATCATAAAACATCTGGAAAGCCGATATCTCTCAACTGAAGCAGTCTCCTGGTGAACTGATCAAAAAATAAAATCTCAAAACAGTGTTAGTGGATTTAGCTACAAGGCGATGAAATGTGCTACGGAATTTTTGTATGTGGACGTTTCTCACCAATAAGAAGCGATGTGTTTGTCGTTTTTTTTTAATTGTAATTTTATGGAGTATTTGCAAACGTGCAAGACACCCCGCCCTCCTCTTTCCACGCTGGAAGTTTAAGACCCCATTTCCAGAGATTAGATCGACCTACTTTAGATCGACCTAACTCCCTGGGGGTTCACGCTAAATAGCTGTCAGCCGGGCGGACACGAAAGTTAATTACCCCCTCACAGCTTGTAGTAGGCGGGACGGACATTTAAGCCGGATTATCTGACAGTAATCTAGTGAGACTCCCCGCGGGGATAGATCGCTCTAAAAGCTCTGGGAATACAGCCTTATACACCCTACAATACAATCCCTCCCACCCTAAACCATCAATATGTTTTATTCCTTTTGACCCATTGGCCTTTTCACCAACAGGAAGACGGTCAGTGGTGTTATTCCTTCTCCACAATGTTGTGCAGAAACTATGTGTCCATTCTTTTTTCTAAGGTATCTTCTTCTTTTAGGAAGGCCTGTTCTAACGCTACTACGCTCCTAACATAGAATAACTGGTTTGATTTTACCTTTTGATCGGCCGTCTAACTAGATTTGCTAAGTGGAAACAGCTATTGCTGAGTCTATTGGAACTGATAGTTACGAACTGATGTTATTATTATATTTGGGTAATTTAAACGGGTCGATAGGCTTATATACTCCTCACCGTGCGTCTGTTAGTAGGCTAGTATGGCCGGCGTTGATCACCACCCCGTAATCATATTTGAAAGTCTCATGCAGAGCAGAACCCGACATCTCAACGCAACATAACTTCAGTAGAATCACCCCATCTGGCGAATGACGGCGAGCAAATAGGGGGGCTTATCCTTTCTTTCCTCGTTCGAAAGTGCAGATTCCCGTAGCCTTCCCGTAGCGTAGACCTAACATTAATTTAACAAAAATAATGTAGCTGTCGGACACGTTCTAACTATTGACTACCAATTTTTAGGTCACACGATCGTACAGAGGAAATGCTTGTACACCACCACAATGCAAAATGAGAAATGTAACGTCTACCAACAAGGAAATCTGAAGGGTTACCAGTGTTACTGTAAGGGGGACCTATGTAATTCTGGAAGTCACATGACAACTAGCGTCGTCCTGATGACCATCATGTGCGGGATTACTATATTGCTGCGATTGTTTTAATGCGGTTTTAATTTCATTTTCAGTTTGAAACAGAAATTTGTTTTTTATTTTCATGTCCTTTTTGAAACACACAACATTAACTTTGGCAACTGCACAAAGTTGAGTGGAGGTAACTATTGCCACTATTTGGATATGATACTCCTCGATTTTGACAAAAGTATTTCACTACATAAAATGGTGTGATGTTACAAGTTTTAATAAGCTAGTCAGTAATGGCTTACATTTGTTATTTTTCCTCTGATAGGCTACGACCTGTCATCCAAATCTTGCTCAATGCTCGAAGGATTAATAGAGTTATTTCAACATTTTAATGATTTTATGGGATCAACCATGCAACGGCAAGTATATCGTTTATATTGACACATATTTTTAGACTTTTGCGCAATAATTAATGTGAACCTTTTAAGGATGGCGGCTTATTTCAGAATGAAGAATGTATCATCCCTCTCTGATATTTCCGTTATCATTTATAAATGCAAATATCCGCCCAAGGGGATTATGTTATATTGACAACAAACATTTAAAAGCACAGTGGTGTTTGTATAGCTTTTTGTGCGTAAACATATGGGAATAACTAGAAGTTAATTTTTACTTACATCAAATGATATATTGATGAATAGATACATATTTACTCCAGGTAGCTAGTTAAGCCTACGACAACTTTATAACTTAACCTTAATGATTTGCACCTGATGTTTTTTATTGATATATGCTTAGATGGGCTTTACAAAACCCATGTCTTCCATTCGTGAATAAGCAAGGATTGTAATCTGTTTATCGTCAACCCATTTCAACATTTCAGATAGGTATAGAGACACTATCAAATCAGCTGTTCTTGTTTTCTTTTGTGCGCCCTAATGATCACTAATCTATGCAAGGTTTGAAGGATAGGATTTTATACCTATTTTTAAGTTTTAAGATATACACATGCAACGTAATAGTTTTTGCACGAAATAATGTTCAATTGTATACACGGTAGTGTAGCGGCAGGAGAAAGGTGTTTAGTGTTTTATTCAAGTGACAGTTTTAGAGACGCATATTTAGGGAAATATTTTAACGAAAATCGCAACAATCTTTGTCTTCCAGTTGTTGTACATAGATTTGAATAAACATTCAATGCTAATGAATTATATTTCAATATTCAAGATTTAGTGTTGTCACTTAAAATGGATATCAACGGAATTCCTTATTTCAATTGGTTTCTCACAATGTCAGGCCTGTATCCAACATATACAATTGAGTGGGGGCTCCCCCCCCCCCCCCCCCCCCCCCACCCCCCC